AAGAGAGGAGAGGAGAAGAGAGAAGAGAGGTGAGTTGAGTGACTGAAAGCCCTCCAGAACATGGGGGGCGAATGAATTAATTTATTGTTTATACTAGTCCAGTCGAACAATATAAACAGAAGAGAAATTACAACAGTACCCTTATGGTACTAAACCTGAATACACAAACAACTGTCAACATTCACCAAGGTCATGACGAGGTCCAAACACTTATTTCTTGTAAGCAAACTGATGTCATGCCTCTGCATCAGTTTTAGGGGGAGTGTGAAGAAACTCACAGATGTACAATATTACCATAGTTCCTATTGTATTGTATCTGACTGGTGTATCTTTTATTATTTTCTCTTCAGCCCTACAAGGGCTTTTCTGTAATTATATTCTGTTGCCTTCAAGGGCCTCTCTGTAAATACTCTAATTTCACCATCTATATAAAGGCCCCTTGGGGTAGGGTCTAAGCATCCATTCTTCATCCCCAGAATTCTGTATTTTGTTCTGGGTTTGTTGGCATTTTGTGGGGTTGATGTGATGGGATATGGGTGTAAAGTTTTCAAAGAAAGTGGTTGGGAAAATGTTGATCCATAGAAAACTCCAAGATTATAAATCAATTCCAAAAGTTTATACAAGATTAAATAAAATCTAGAGATCATATAAACAATCTATATGGGCCAAGTTATGGTTTCAACATGAAAAGCTGACTTTTGACAATGGGATCCAAAATAAGTTCTCCCTAATTCCTGTAGAACAAATAACTTTCTAGCATGTTTCATTAGTTGGACATTTTTTAGGGGTGCAAGTCTAGTACCTGATTTTAAGAGTTTACACAGTATTAGGGGCTAGACCAATTCAAATTTTAACAAATCTTCAACATGAGCCTGCCCAAGTTTCACTCTTAATTGCTTTTTGGGTCATAAGATTTTCTTAATCTGTATTTTCTTGCATGTTACACAATGTCATAGATTTTTGCGCATTTTGTTATACAGTTCAGTTCCATTTTACCGGTTCTAGTTCCTTTGAACAATTTCACTATAGAATGAACAGTTTACAGAGATTTATGAGAGATGTACTTACATAAGGATCTATAAAAATCACAAAAGATTCCTTTTTCTAGAAAAAATGTTTGAAACTGCTTCTTCTCAGATATGTATGGTTAGTATATCACCTTTCAATGTAGTTCAAAATTTTCTTATCTGGGCAAACCTAAGGATGGAACTGACAAAAGTACAAGCTATAGTAATTTGTACAAAACCAATAACCTCAAGGCCCAAGGTGACAAGATGAGATCAATCTCAAACAATACAAAGGGTAGAAAACAAAAACAAGTTTCCTGCAAGAAGAGTATTGTCACATGTCAGGAAGAAAATGTATTACAAAGGAGTAACACTGGGATGTACAATAAATATTCTGGTTGGATATTTGCAACAACATAGTAGATAAGATCAGACGATCTACACTCTCCATGATCAACAACCAAACGTACAAAACTCATGTGTTAACAGTGAATATATATTTTTTTGTAAAGAATTAACAGTGAATATGCTTACATTAGATCCAACAACCATAGTCTCCAAGGATTTCATACCATTAGCTCTGAAAGTAATAGGTGATTCTGGAAGTTAAACAATAATATTTCTTTGTTCAAATAAGGTACAGGGATCTACCTGATTCCTAAAATTCCATAAAATTCATCCTCCATGCTCCGGACCACGTATTTATGAAAATCATAAGAAAGTGGCAGTCTGTGATTCTGGAAACCAGAATAGAAGGTCTAAGTAAAATAGTCCATGAGAAAAACAAAAGCAATGTAATAATATTTCTATATGAAAGGCTAAACCTGTTCTTTGTCTACCAAAAATGTAAATGATATTCGGGAAAAACAGTACATAGGTCCTGTAAATTTTGAATTTCTATAATGACATAGTATCAGAAAATAGAAGAAACTCAAAAAATTATTAAACAGTGTTATAATTCGGTTCTGCCTTAGAGTTCTGTATGTCTGAGATCAGTTATGTAGAAAGAGAAAGGTGGAAGAAAGAGAGAGAGAGAAGGGAGAAATTCTGGTTCGAACTGGAAGACTCAACATAACCTCTCCCAGTCGGCCAGGCAGTATTTATATTATTAAAATTAATTGAAAAGACATATGTGCCCTTATTTAAGTTAGGAGCACTGGTTCCAACACAACATTACAGATCAGCAACAT